AATTAGTTAACGAAAAGTATCGGCAATGTAACGACAAATAAAAAGTTCACGTTAATAATCTTATATTTTAAAAATATTTCAATACAAAACTTTTGACATTCTCATATTTTTCCTATCTTTGTCGTTAAAATATTCTAAGGTCGTTAAAAAGTTACAGAATTGAAAATTCGTTAATGCAACCGATATTTGTCGTTACTTTACGATATCGATAGTTAAAATTAAAAAATTACAGAATTGCGGCACAGAAGCCCTTTTCGGGGGGTTCTGTTGTATGGGGGCTAGGTGAAATAATGGACCGATTTTAACCATTTTCAATTGGCTTCGTCCTTGGGCCAAAAACAGCGTGTGTGCCAAATTTCACCCATTCATTATCATTATCTTGAAAATTGCGACCTGTACCTTGCGCACAAGGTTTACATGGACAGCCAGCCAGACGGGCGGACATGGCTTAATCGAAAACGATTCTAAGCCGCTTGGTATACTTTAAGGTGGGTATTTGACGAATATTTTTGTATGTTACAAACATCAGCACAAACCCAATATACCCTCCCCACTAAAGTGGTGTAGGGTATAAAAACATTTTCGAATCCACGGGGTTTCCTGGAATAATTGGCTGCGTTGATGATACTCACATACTCATAAAGTCACCAGCTGATAACGTTAAGCATTTATATTATAACCGAAAGGGATACTACAGCATAAAGGCAATGGTGGTCAGTTTAGAAAGTATAACGTTTACCTCTTAATTGCAAACTTTTATATTTACATTGTTTTTTAAATTTGTGAACACAAAACAACATAATATACGTGGATTCTAGGCATCCAGGCGCTAACCATGTCTCATTTATATATAAGAAAGGCGCTGCAAATTATCAACTACAAAAAATATGAAAATGGATAATGAACACTTGGATTCTAGGTAAAAAGCTCAATGATTTACAATTAAAAACTATTTTGTTAAAATTTTCTTTCTGTATTAGGTGATGCTGGATTTTTTCGAAATTTTTTTATTGTTGCAATTTGTAGCTCTACTGGTTATACTTATGTGTACAAAAGCATTTATCGATATCTTAATTTGTTTAGGATTTAGCAAAAGCACCTATGTGATTTCCATGTATTAAATGCTCAAAAAAGTCCTATGTGTTTGAAATTATATTGATTTAAATGATAAATCCGCCAAACTAGTTAATATAATACATACATACCTGCCTTTTGGTGCACTCATCAACTTAAAATCACTTTATGGGTCGATTCAATCTCGTCCGTCCTTCCGTTAATATTTTTGTGAAACTTTTTATTTAAAGTACTTGCGGTACTTATATGAAAAAACGAGGTAGGATGTATTTCGCATACCGATTTTTATGAAATTTTGTGTAACTAGTCTTCGTATTTGGTAGATTAATTACACCAAATAAAACTTCAAATTGAAAGAATAATAGCAACTTCTACACATATTTGAAATTTTGCATAGACAGATGCTGTGCAAATAAGTCGATATTCTAAGATAAATGATTTAATAAGAATTAAATAAGTATTTTCTGATAACACCGTGCAACAGTCATTTTCACACATAAAAAAATCTATGTGTACAGGAAACTGTGGACCATATATACAGTCCTCGCCACTTGAATAGCACATATATAATTTTTTTTCAAAGCTTATATTTTTGGATCAGGAATTTCTGGAAACTAGTTTTTACCCTCATTGTAGTATTTTTTGTTCTGAATAAAATGTGATACGAATGGTTGTCATATCTGTAATATTTGATTTTATATATTTTTTTTATAAATTAACCGAAAAAAGCAACTGTTAAAAATTCGCCACTTGAATAGAACATCCATGATTTAGATTATTTTCAACGATATAAATTAAACTAAGCTATTTTAGTTATGTGTTGAACCTCCTTGGTTGACTAACACTTCACAAATCCTATTTGGAAGTGATTCATATAGCTTGACCATGTAATTCAGTTGTACTGAGCTCCAGACTTCTTTAATTGCATAGATTAGTTCAGAAATTGTTGAATACTGTTTTCCAAACTCATAAACTTTTCGGGCAACCCCGAAAAGTTTATGGTGAATATGGAGGCCAGTTCAACAATTCAACATTTTGGAACTCTATATAAGATTTTACGATCCGGGTAGTGTGGATCGGGGCGTTATCTTGTTGCAGGATCCAAGGGCTAGGTCCATATAGGTCATTGAAAACCGAAAAAAGCCTTTTTTTATTAACCCAATGTAGTTCTTAGCATTTATTCTTGAGCTTAAAAACTGATGCTCGAAGGTGCCACAATAGGAAATTGCTCCCCATACCTTGACGCCACCAACACCGATACTTAATAAAATTTTTTAATTAATTTCTGTTATACCTCTAATTATATATAGCATTATTCAAATAGATAGTTTTTTTTTCGAATTTTTGAACTTTGGTGTTAAATTATTCCCAAGTAACTTAAAGGGTTAATCTACCTTTTTTTTACTCTATTTTAAATATCGGACTATATACGATAAATTTCAGTAATTTTTGGTAAATATGGCCGACAAATAAATATTATTTCGATATGGTACACTAAGAATTCACAAATATTGCAAAATTTGACCTTTTAACTCCACAGTTTATGGGTTAAGAATGTCCGATTTTAATAAAACTTCGGATATATATTTTATATTATCTGGACTATAATACTCTGATAATATTTTATGTAAAATGTGCAACAGTAAAGAATTAATACGTATTCTCTAAAATATTACAAAAAATGCGATTTTCCCGAAATCGGCCGAGTTCAAATCGCAGGTACAGCTAAACTGTAAGAAATATTGATTTAATTTTTTTACCTTTTAATAGCCTTATCTATTGGCCATAAATCCCCATGAGATCTGCTCAAAATTTTGAAATTTGTTTAACAAAGTTTAAAAAAAAAACGGAAATTGCAAATTTGAAACGGCCGTTGAAAAAATCAAACTTTTTTGACCATAGCTTAGAACAAGTAAGCGTTATCTTATAAGGACAAAAACTAATATTCAAGTAATTATAGATATATATTTAAGTAACAAAATGTTTTTTTTAGAATATATCCCAAAAAAATATTTTTTTGTCACATTTCAAATATATGTGCTGTGAGACACGTTAATGGGGAATTTGCAATAACTTTTAAAGTTTTCAAGCAATTTTTGTATTTTATATCTTTCCGAAATGCTTACTTTGTGCACATTACGAATTTGGCCAAATTTGAGCTGAAAAAAATCGATATTTTCCCCTTGTAAATGCACTTGGAAACTTCAGAGCCGTTGCGGCACCTGTTAAATAAGGCTAGAGGTGTACTTGCATTCATAAAACGTTGGGCTAAGGAATTCAGAAGATCCCTACATCACTAAACAACTTTACATTTCCTTAGTAAGACCTATACTGGAATATGGCTCTGTTATCTGGGATCCTTATTACAATATTCATATACAGCATCTGTACAAAACAATTTCTGCTATTCTGTTTACGTGGTCTGCCTTGGATTCCTGATGTGAACCTACCATCCTACATTGACAGACTTAAATTAATTAAACTACCTACACTGCACATTAGTATGCTTAATGTATTATTTATGATTAATATAATTAATGGCGAAGTCTGTTCAGAATTTCTTGTAAATAATGTTAATTTTAACATTCCTCAACGATCGTCGAGAAAATATAGAGCTCACTTCCATGTTAGAAGCACATAAGGCAAAATTTAGCATGGTAAGGGATTGCGTACAATAGCTACTCACGAGATTCGCCTCAAATAGCCAATCAAGCAAAGATATGTACATATACATATGTAGGCTGATAAATCCCGCTACGATGGATGTCATTAAGGAGGAAGTACACAAACTCCTAGCTGAAAGACGCATTGAACTTCCAAGAAGTCCTTATTAGCTCGCCGATTGTCTTGCATAAAGAAATAAGCGGGATGAGAATGTCCGATCTACATCCTCTCGTATTTGTTTACCTTGACGTCATAAATATCCTAGGCCGCACCTTTTGAGAACACATTTAGGTATTTCGCGCTTACAAGAATGGAAAATGTTGGTAAACTTCGACTTATATGACTTCGATCGCACGATACGGTATTTGGGACTTATCGTCCAAGAAGGGTTTCTACCGACCCTGATAAGACGAAGGCAGTCAGAGAGCTAAAAGCTCTCTAAATTTGTTGCACCCTTAGCTGTTAAGAAACACCAAAGACGGGACTGGGGACCAGACCCGTCTGCAAGCAAGCAGACTATTTCAACTATTGCAAGCAAGCAGACTATTTCAAGCGTACTATTTCAACGACACTCGGGTTAGAGTCGGTTATTGCTTCCGCCAATCCCACGTTATCCGACCTCGAAACGAAATACGAATATTAAACGACCTACTACAAGAGCTCCGTACGCTCCACAACAGGTTGGTTCGGATCATCGTCACTGGGTCCTGAAATCGTCTATGGGGAAACGGAAATAGCCACGATTTTCCAAGGAGCAAGTATTCGAGAACGTTTCTACCATTAAAGGTAACGATGCTTAATCGAAATTACGCCGAATAGTAGCGATGGTTGATACTTAATAAAAATATATTTCCTTTAAAGATGTGCGGATCTACGGACCAAATCTCACAATTTAATAAGATGCCCAATTCGAGCATAGCAACCGTCATTTAAGGTCAGCTCTGAATCTTATTTCTATTAAGAGTGTTTGTATATTAAATTACAAAATGAACTTCTAACGCTTCAATTTACGGCATCTTGCTCTTAATTTGAAGTAGCTAACTACTAATTTCACGACCAATGTCAAAGGTCACTTTTATAGATCATATCTTAAACTGATACTTTATAAGTCTGACTCGAATAGATGTGCAATTAATTTTAACCAGGATTTGTTTCCTAACAAACATAGTTGATGTCCCATTCCAAGAAATTTGTAGTAAATATGTAAGTGCAAGTCATTACCAAGCATTCCTGGATAAGTATTTAAAAGCATGATTCTTTAAACTGGTGTAACAATATTTATTTGTGTATAATTTAAATCATAAAAAGATTCTAATTAATTATGGTATGTGAAAATAAATTGTAATCCAATTTATAACAATACATTACAAAATATGGTAAGTAAAATGAGTAAAAAGTAATGGTCAGACTAAACATTATTGTTTAGCGGCTCTTCTCCTGGTCACTGGTGTTGTGGGTGTAGGTGTTGGAGGCTTTGAAATCTGTTAAAAGAAAAGGAATAGTAAGTGATAATTGATAAGATATGTTTGATCTTTAAAATACATACAGATCTAATTGGTTTTGGTGTCATAGCATTTGCCGGTGGCGGATCTCTGGGCTGAGGGCCATCTGCATCACCAACAACGACCACGGCTACGGGTCTTTGTTCACTTGACATGCGTTCTGTACTGCCACTGCGTGATGTTGAACCTGAACGTTTGAACATACCCGATAAACGGCCACGTAAATCCTTTTTACTAGCCCTCATATCACTGGCCACACTAATATCAGAGTCAGATCCTTGAATCTTTAATAAAAAAGTATTTTTATGAATTCAAAACAAACTAAGTTTAATTAACTTACAGATATTTCACTCTCGGAATTGCGTCCACTCTTGGTAAGACTTCTCAATTTTCCCATAAGGCCCTTCTTCTTCTTACGTGGACCACGTGGTATATCACTTTGAGTTGATCCGCCAGACAATCGTGAGTCCAGACGCGAATCATAGCTTGAATCACGCACTAGACCTCCTAATTCGGAATCAATAGATTGCATTGATGATATACTTCCATCATCCTGACGCCAAATATTCTTGAATTATATAGAATATCGAATTAGTTACATAATTTTTAAACTATTTTATAATACTGAACAAGTACCTGATCTTGTTGTATAGAGTGATCCAGAGATAAACTCTTTCTTATTAAACTGCCGTTGTGACCGGATCGTGATAATTTAGAACCATTACGATGAGACCCACTTGCGCTTGCAACAGAACTTCGACTACCATGTGGATCGTTTTCTTGAGATGCAGCTCTACGCAAATTACCACGTCTCATGCGATTGCGTTCATGCTCCTCTTCGTTAATACGTTGGAATTTACGCAATTCCTCGGAAGCCTCGGCTAAACGCGCTAAAACGCTACCAATATGTGATGTATTCATAGAGGGAGAAGGACTACGAGATCTTTTTGGTGAAATAGGTTCAGGCCTCAAATCGTTAGGTGTAGCTGGTACCCTTCCACCCATTAAATCTGGTGCCATCTTTACTAATTCATCAACTGTGTGCAATAGAGCACCAAGTTTACGATCGCCACCTTCTTGTTCCATGCGTCGTTTAACCAATTCCTTCTCATAACGCTCGCGCTCTCTTCGTAATTTCTCATTTGATGTTCGCAGTTTAGCGTGCACATCACGTAACTCTAATAAATCACACTGCAATTCGGCAATTTTTCTGCGTCCTTCTTCCATTTCCTCTTCATTGGTACGTTTTAATTGATCTTGTCGACGCTTCGCCTCTAAACGTTCCTTATCACGTTCACGCTCCACTTCAAATAGAGTTTGACGCAAGTCTCTAGCCAACGTTGATGTTTCTTGTAACAATCTTTGCTGATCTTCACGTTCCTTTTGCCAGGATAGCTCAAGTTTGGTCTTCATGCCCGGAATTTTCGTGCGACCTGAGCCAATTACTCTCTCCTCTTCAAATTCATTAAGTTTTGATTGCATTTCAGATATTTTTATTTCATTTGCACTACGCTCCGAAACCAATTCAGTCTTAACTTTGCTAGCTTCCAAACGAGCCTCTACTAGCTGATCTTCTAAACAACCAATCTGAAATGTTTTTGGAATAAATTAAGGTATTAAAATTTAAGTAACAGCATTGTTCAGAATTAATAATGTCGTGGAGTAGTTAATTTGTTATTATATTTTTCTGTCTGACTCCAAATTCCAAGATTTTACTTACTTGTTGTTCCAAATAAGCAATCTTACTCTTGTCGTCTTCATCACTGCTATGCATTGAACCTCTACTTTGTCTACCAGCATTGTTGGCTTTAAGATCTCCAATTTTCTTTTGGGCCGACTCCAACATTTGCTTAAAGGCATCACGATCCTTTTTGAAACGTTCACATTGGCGCTGCAAAATTTTAATTAATATTATTCCCAATATATGTTTAATACCTTTAAGTTAAAAATACAAACATGCATTGAGGTCAGTTCTCCACTTAATGTTTTCACTTGCTGTTCATAACGAAGACGAGTTGAAGCCACTTCGGATTTCAATTGCATTTCGGCGTTTTCCAATCTAAAAGAAACATACATTATAACATTGATTGTTAACTTTATTTATATTTACAAACTTTATTTTTAATGATTTTATTTCGTTTTCCAAACTGGCGCTATGGCCGTTAATGGAAGATTGGGCTTGTTCAATACGATTGAAATCACTTAATTTTCGGTTTAACTCATCGTTATCCTTTCTCAGTTGGAACACCAAATCGATATTCATTTCATTTTCCCTTCTAAGACGTTCATACTCTTGTATCTTTTCATCCAGTTTATTTTGCAACATTGTCTTTTCATATTCTGAATGTCCATTCTTAAGAGTTTTTGTTTCCAACTCTTGTATCTTCTTTTGAGCATCGTTTAACTTTTTAGCCAATTCAGAACGATTGACCCGTATTGTTTCCAATTCACTTATTTTCTGTTTAGCATTGTTCAGTTCGGTTTGAAGATTATTCTTTTCGGTGGACAGTTGAGCTCTCATCAGTATTGTTTCTTCGGACATCTTCTCCCATTGAGCATTAAGTTCATTATAACGTTTTGACTCATGTTCTAGGGTTTCATGCAATTCCTCTAGTTGTTTTTTGAGTTCTTGCACCTGTTTTGTATCCGATTTTGATGATTTTGTTTTAAGCTCCTTGATTTCGTTTTCTAAACTGGTTTTAGTTTTGTCGGCTGTCTTGCGTGCTTGGGTAAGTTCGCTTTCCTTTTGTGTTAGTTTGCCTTCTAGTTTTTCGCGTTCCTTCCGTTCTTTTTCGTAATCCTTTTCCAATTTAGAAAGTTTTTCCTTTTCAGTTTTCATTTGCTGTTCCAGCGATGATTTGTTGGTTTCTGTTTTCTTTATCTGTAAGGATAGCAAAGTCTTTAATTGTAATAATTAAGTATTCCATTAGGTTTACCAAATTATCTTGTTTCTTAATTTTGTCTTCCAGTTCCTTGATCTTGGAATTTAATTGTTTCGATTCTTCCTCGGTCTTTTTAAGCTGCTTTTCCAGATCTTGTACTTTGGGAGTGTTTGTCGACTTAAGTTTTTCTGTAAGGGTTTTTCCAAGGAGTTTTTAATGTATTTATATAAAAGCATTTAATGAATCTATACTTACGCAAATCTGTCTCTGCCTGAGTAAGTTTATTTTTATATTCTCTCAGTTCTTCTTCCAAGGATTTCTTCTCGCTTTCCAAACTTTTAATAGTATGTGCTCCAGTATTTGCAACAATTGCCCTCATTTCACTTATTTCATCATCCAATTCTTCTACCCATTTCTTTAATTGATTTTTCGGCGTTAAATCGGTTATACGTACAGTTGTTCTCGGTGGCAGTTTTTCTTCAGCTTCTTGGAAAATACGTTTTAGTTTGTCTTGGAGATTATTTCTTTCTTCCTCTACACTGGCAAGGTTTTCTTTAAGTTTTGCAAGCTCAGCAGTATTTCCATTCTTCTCAGTAGAAGATTGTTTACGCAGAGCTTGTAATTGCAAACGCTTAACTTCCTTTTGTACACGTTCGTTTTCTGCTTCTAGGGCAGCAACTTTGGAACGTAAAGCTGTGGCTTCTTGTTCAACCATTTCCAACTGACGTTTAGCATTGGCTCCAGTTTGAGCAGAAGCCGCAGCTTGTAACCTTTCAATATGTTTATCCTTTTCGGAGATGTTCTTTCTTAGCTGTTCCAATTCATCATTTAAGGCTTTCAGTCTTTTCTCCGAAGCATTATTACCCCAAGATCCCAATGTATTTCGTTTATCCGCCGATGTTGTTAGTTTATCCTGCAGTTCGCGAACTTGTTTTTTCGACTCGGAGTTTTGTTTTTCCAATTCTTCAACCTTATGGCGGAGTATGGAAGCCTCTTGTTCATTAAGTTCCAAAAGAATGCGCAACTCAGCCGGATCATCTTCATCGGATATACCCTCATCACGTTCAGCTTGTACCTCTGGAGCCAAACGATGAGGCGTTGGACTGAGTTTACGTGCTATTTTTGTATAAATTTATTATTAGATAAAAAAGAAAGTTAGTAGTGCTTTCTACGATATTAAAGTTTTATTAACTTGAGCATGCAATAATTAACTGGTGAAATGATATAACGCTTATTAGAGGACAATGAGATTCAATTTTTTGAAAATCCAATATAATTTATATGAGCAGCTGTAAAAAAATGGCAATATAACATTTTAGTTGATATTATTTTGGAATAGCCGGGTAGGGATTAAATGAATTAACGAACAACAATTAGTGAAAGCATTTGTTAAATATTTAAGGGAAAGTCTTCCAACTCTTTCTTTTAATACGATTTCTATATTCAGAATTTACTAAGTTATGTTGTTTCAAGTTTTAAAGATTTTTCGAGTTCGAAAGCTTTCCCTAATTTAGCATCTGTCTTCTACTACTGGAAAACATAATCATTTTAAACTTATCATACTTCTAGAGCGTGTTGCCATTTTTTTCAACTGCATCATTAGAGAATCATTTTCATCCTCCATACGGGCAACTTTTTTCCTTAAATTTTCAGCCTGTAAAATTAAACAGAAAATAAAAACAATTTTAGCCAATAACAATCAACAGGTGCTACATAAAACAAATCAAATTTCGTTGTTCCAATTGTTCTAAATGATGGTTTCATAAAAGCTTTTAAATATATAAACAAGTAATATTGTTAAGGTCGATTTAGTCGAACTTTATTTGTGACCTCCACATTTATTGTACTTTTTACAAAATTTCGTGTATTGAGTTTTCGTCTTCCGTCAGTAATGGAACTATTTTAAGTTTATACAAATCTGGAGGTTACAAGGGACATCAACAACAATTAGTTGTAAATTACATAAAATATTATATAGATTAAAAGGAAAAAACACTACTATCGATCAAGTCCAATAATGAAAAGCTTTATACCTGCCCCAGCACCAGATTTAAGGGCATTCGATATTAGACTTGGAAATAGAAATGAAGATGAAGAAGATCTGCTGGACACAGATGGTAAAATAGCAGCAAATGGTGAATTCTCTCGTTTATGACAGCGCAAAAAAATATCAGGCATATTAATGGTATCCTCATTATTCTTAGGCGAACTTTCCAATTTGATACTATCCAATGTTTGGGTACTTTCATCACAAGACTCAATCAACTTAATGAAGCATTCTGTTTGCACACATTTCTCGTTCATTTCAATATTTTCTCTCTTAAGACTAGTGTTCGAAAATACATCGGATTCTTCGACATTGTTCTCAACATCAACTGAAGGCAATTCTTCTTCATAGTCTGTCTGAGTGGATCTTGGAAATTTTAAAATTTCATAATTATCCTGAGTTTGGATACCTTTATTTATAAAGGACTTAGTTACATGTATTTTAAGTTTATTTATCTTTAGTCGATTTAAAAAGAAAATATTTAATGCTGAAAAGTTCAAAACTATTATGCCGAAAAAAACCTTGCCATACTTACTTCTTCTTCGGCAAACTTAAGTTGATCTTTAAGATCTGATTCTCTTTCAACTGAATCCTGTAAATCTCTTAGCAATTGTTGAGGATCTTCTTGTGAACCACCACGAGTGAGAGATTCTCTCGTAAATCTGGCATCGGCAGAGGTAGATTTACCCAATACTCCTAACATAGGAGCCTTCTTCTTTCCAGGATTGCGCAAATCTTCAGCTTCAGCCTGTAAATCAATACGAATAGAAAATACTTTGTATTGTAATCTGCTGATTGCCTTGCATTAACATCAAAGTAAAATATAAATATACTTATTTTTATAGTAAAAATAAATACGCATACTGGAGCCGAAATACCGCATACGAGGTCGAATAAAATTTAAGGCGATAATTTCAACACGAAAAGTTATTCGATCCCGTATGTGGTACTTCGCCCCCAGGTATTACAATACCTGTAATTTTTTAGTTAATTCCTGTGAAAATCTCAACTCATCCTCCAATTGTTTAATTCTAGCATTAAGTTCCAGGTTACCATTATTCTGACGTTCTTGTTCCAATGTCTCTATTTTCCGTTCGCATTTTTTTAATTTAAAACTTAAAATTCGACAATTCTTTGTGGTCTTTTCAAGATCCTTTTGCAAGTTTGTCTTAGCTTTCATCTCATCATCTCGGAAGGTATCTTGGAGTTCATCCATTTCAGCTTGTAGGTTTAAAATTTCCTTTTTCGCTTCCTGGTTTTCCTCCATCAATTCCTCACAGATTTGTTCAGCAGCCTGTAATTTACGTCGCAGCTCATGCTCAGCACTTTTGGGGTTATTCTCAAGCTCCTTCATTCGACTGTTGAGTTTTCGTTTTTCTTCAGTTATCTTTTCGAGTTGTTCCTTAAGTTCGTTGACTTTCTGTTGCAGCATAATAGCTTCAGAGGCAGCCGTTCGATTTGGAGCAGTTTCCATGGAAGCCAAACGTCTTAATAGTATATCACTTTTTTCACGTTCCGCCTTCTCTGCACGAGCTTTCATCGCTTCAAGTTCTTTACGTAAAGTAGCCATTTCTTCCAAATGTTCACGGTCCATCTGTTGCCCGGCATAGGGCGTTTCAGTTGTTAAAGACATGTTATCCAAATTCTGTTTCTTGTTATTGAAACTATTTTCTTTAATATTCAGCATAAATTGTACATCTTGAGCCGCCTGAGCAGCTTTCTGTCGTTCGTTTTCTTTCTTTCGTGCGGCTGAGGATGAGGTTGCTGCCGATGTCGTTGTATTAGATGTAGAGGAAGTTGTTTTCAATTTCGTTGGTATTGTTTTGGGTGGAGTAGGTGGTAATGCTGAATGGGTTTCATTAACAGGCGCGGAAGTTGGGCGAGTATGGTTTGATGAGGAACTAGACGTGTTTGAACTTGAAGTTTTCTTTGGTGGCAATGATAGATGTTTTGTGGCATCTGTAGTACTACTTGAAGAATTTGCTGTTGATATTGATTTTGTACGTTCAGGTCGATCTGGTGGAGGCTTAGCATCTCCATCATTATTTTCCCTAATATATAATGAGCATATTAGTACATAGTATAACAGAAAGGAAAATTAATGATACTTACTGTTCCTGTTTTCTAGGCACAGATCGTTCACGACTTGATTCTCTGGAATTTTGACTACGTTGTTTTTTCAACAAATTCATTTTTCTCACCCGTTCAGCCAAACTGTCTGTAGAGAGAATGACCAAGTCATCTGGAATATTTTTCGAAGACGACGATGCTGAAGAATTCAGCGACAAAGAATTTTCAACCTAACATTGTGGATTTGAAATTAAAACAATTGAGAAATTATAAATATTCTGAAGTGATCCATCGGCCTAGTTCCTACAAAGTCCTCATAGACTTAATTATTTATGTATTTAAATATATTTTATGAAAATATATAACTTGATTTACCTCTTTTATGTCTAACGTTGTTGTATGTCGTCTCGGTGGAACTGGCAACTTTAGAGTGACATCTACACTGTTGTCATCTGTTGATTTGCCGCCTGAACGTGAACTGCCTCTGGCATTGTCATCGACTTCGTCTATATCGGGCGTAGAAGCCCATGACTGCGGGCGCTTCTTTAACTCTACATTGAAGTGTACAACTTTTGTTGAGCAAAATTTTTTATCCAGTAAAACATTAAACATGCAACAAGCGCGTTATTTCGTGTTTTATCATTAACAAAAATTAATAATTTGTTTACGTGTAAGTAATTGCAGATCATCGGTATAGAGAGTGCATTTATTTATTTATTTGTGTAGTTAATTTGATTTTTTATAATTATAATTGAATTAAATTTTGCATTAGTCAGTAATCGTATTGTTAAAAAGAAAACAATTTTACGTTTAAACATAAACATTTGTAGAACCAACATCCAACGGATTATGATATAATTAGATAAACGATGGATTGACCAAATGATGAGTTAGGAGCATTATTCCCAGAAACGTTGATATCGCAATCATCGATCGATCGATCATCATTATCCCAAGTGAATTGTGGTCGCGAATTAGTTTAGTTTCATTAACATTTACAGTAATAAAACATTGAATTATGATGGTTAAAAAAGATGTAACGTGACAATTGTAGAAGTAGTAGTTAAATGATGAAATAAATTCATAAAGAAATGATACATAATTATTTTTAATATGATAACTTTACTCAATAAAATACATAAAAATATAACAAATTTAAATAAATTGAATATAAACCAATCGATAGTTAACAAGTCATGCTTTAATTTCTATAAAGATTAGTAAATTTTGAAACAAATCAATTTAAAATATAATTGGTAGTTAATAGAATTCAGACAATCATACCAATATCATTACTGCTGCCATTTAAAGAAGAAAGATTTTGTGTTGAGGTCCATGTACGCGATGATGGTCTATTTTGAAATTTATAAATTAAATATTAAATTTTTAGTAGCGTTTTTCTATGCTACTACTCACCTTGAGTTAAAACCATCTGAAAGGTTTGGCGATGATGCTGCAACATCATCGACTCCACGTCTGCCTCCATGCTCCTTGTAATCACGAAAACAACGTTTACATCTTGTTGGATAACGGGTCTGTGGATGAAACCCCAATGGACATAACTGATCACCTTTCAGCGATGGATATAAATGATGCATTTAAGAGAATACACTTCGTTGGGCTGAATATTCTGAAATAAAAATATAAGCAATTATTAATTTACCTATTCGAATTGATGGGAAATTATGTTTGCATTTTAGATTTTATGAAACCGACAATAGTTCTCAAATATTTCTTTGGTTTCAAATTTTACATACATATTTATGGGCATTTCCAAAATGTCGAACATATTTAAAAACAATTTTTTACTTCTAGCTGTTATTTTGCCATTCTTGTAACAGTAATATCTTTAATTGAGTCTTACTAGAGATATCGAGTTTTTCACTCCGTCTACCTAATTAATTTCAAAGATACTTAATTGGGTTTATGTCAGGCGATTGCGGTGGAGTTGTTAGAATATGTGGAATATAATTCGAACCTCATTGGTCGTATGTTTTGGATCATTGTCCTGTTGAAAATAGAAACTGTGCCTAAAACCTAGCTTCTCAGTGCTTTGCAGAAGATTTTCATTCAAAATATTATGGTAAACCTTCTTATCTATCTAAGTTTTCCACACCTCCTGCAGCCATACATAAACTTCTTACACGAAGATTTGATTTTAAAACGATAACGTCTAAATTTATTTTGGTTATTATAAAACGTTCAAAAGCTTTCGTTTATTCACAATATTAAAGTACAATGAGCTATTTATTATCGTGAGAGACTATCTATATATATAAAAATGAATGTGTGTTTATTTATTTATGGGTTTGTTTGTTCGTTTGAAGTCTAAAGACGGCTAAACTGCTGGACCGATTTTCTTGAAATTTTCACAGTGCCTTCCTGTATGTCTGGAAGGAACTATAGGCTACTTTTTATTTAGAAATTTTAAGTGGGCGAGGTGCCACGCCTACATCCAAAATAATAATTAAAAGTTGCATATCTCAGAAACTGCAACAGCTAGAGTTCTCAGATTTTGTATGGACAACTTTGACATCCATATGAACATATGTGGAAAAAATGGGCGGCCTATCTATAGTGGGCGTGACACCTCCCATATAATAAAATCTTAAATTAGTATATCTGAGAAAATATAACAGAGTTCTAAAATTTTTCGGAGCTACTTTATTAACAACATGAATATTTAGGACAAAAAATAGGCGGACTAGCAATAGGGGGCGAGGCACCTCCCATATGAATTAAATAAAAAAATTAGTTTTTCTGAGAAACAATTAGAGCTAGAAGTTTCAAATTTTGTAGGAAGAACTTTAAAATCCACGTGAACATGTGGGGGAAAAACGGGCAGACATTCTTCAGGGGGGCTTGGTACCTCCCATATGAATTAAATGCAAAAATTTGTATATCTCAGAAACTATTAGAGCTGAAATACTCAAATTTTGCACGAATAATTTTGGCATAAATGTGAATATTTGGGTAATAAATTGGCGGACTAGCAATACAAACTATTAGACAGACCTGGGATAAGTGCATTAAATATGTTAATGCATTAAAAATTGTTTCAATATTAAAAAAATTAATGTTAATGAAAGTTTATTGCATTAACATTAACATGAGTACATTTAATGCATTAAATTTGCATTAACATTAAATATTTTTGAATTTAATGCATTCATTTTACATTAACATTAAATAATAAGTAATAAAATTAATGTATTAATTTTCCTTCTTCTATATGTATAAAAATGAATGTGTGTTTATTTGTTTGTTTGAAGACTATAGACGGCTAAACGGCTGGATCGATTTTCTTGAAATTTTTACAGTACCTTCCTGTATATCTGGAAGGAACCATAGGCTACTTTTATTTTAAAATTTCAAGTAGGTGACGTGCCACGCCCACATACCTAATAAGTATTTAATGTCGCATATCTCATAAACTGCAACAGCTAGAGTCCTCAAAATTTGTATGGACGACTTTGACGTATATATGAACAAAATGGGATTGGCTATAGTGGGCGTGTCACCTCCCATATAAAAAATATTAAATTGTTATATCTAAGAACATATAACAGTTAGACTCCTAAAATTTTGTCGAAGCCACTTTAGTATCAATATGAATATTTCAGACAAAAATGGACTGACTAGCGATAGGGGGCGTGCCAACTCCCATATGAATAAATTAATCTATATATTTAAAAATGGCCGGACGGATTTTCTTGAAATTTTTACAGTACTTTCCTGTATGTCTGGAAGGAGCTATAGGCTACTTTTTATTTTAAAATTTCAAGTAGGCGAGTTGCCACGCCCACATACCCAATAAGTATTTAATGTCGCATATCTAATAAACTGCAACAGGTAGATTCCTCAAATTGTGTATGGAACACTTTGACATCTATATGAAAAAATGGGCAGACTTGCTGTAATGGGCGTGTCACCTTCCATAAAAATATTAAATAAATATGTCTAACAAAATATAAAAGTTAGAGTCCCAAAATTTTGTCGAATCCACTAAAGTGTCAATATGTGTCAATATGAATATTTTAGACAAAAATGGGCTGGCTAAGAAAAGGGGGCGTGGTACTCCCTATATGAATTAAATTTAAAACTTCTATATCTGGGAAATCATTATAGATAAAATCATCAATTTCTACACGAGCAACACTGAAATCCATATAAATAATTTGTGAAAAAATTGCTGGACTAGCAATAAGAGCGACGATACAAAAGTTCGTGTACATGGAAAACTATTTGAGCTAGATTCTGAACCATTTTGACACACAAATGAACATTTCGGGTTAGGGAAATAAATCAGGGACCGTAACAGTTATAAGTTATATTAAAAAAGTCAGTTTATAACAGTTATTTTGTGACTTTAAAAATAAAACTCCATCTGAAAAAGTTATTTTTCAACCTAAAAATAAAAATTCAAATGAAACTTTAAAAAAAAGAGTTTTATTTTTCCGTCCTAAAATAAAAATTATTTGAGGACTTTTATTTTTTCGTCAGAAAATAAAACTCATTTTCAATAATAATGCCTTCCGAAGAAATTAAAAAAGCTTGTGTTCATTCATAACAGAAAATTACCATTTGCCGTTTTTGATTCAGATGTTTTCAACGTCAGTTCAAATCAACTATTTAATGGACTTGGTCAGATAAACTCAATAAAATAGGATACTGAAAAAATATATAAAAACATTGTTTGATTTTTTGACGGGGAAAACAAATGAGTTTTATTTTCTGATGGAAAAAATAAAACTCCTCAAATAATTCTTATTTTATGACGGAAAAATAAAACTCATTTTTTAACTGTTTCAATCAGACTTTTATTTTTCCGTTAAAAAATAACTGTTATTTGTGGAGCAAAGATCGTTTTTTTTAAATCACCATATATTCTGAAAAAGTACAGCAATACGAGTTTATTGGTATGTATATAATAGTATAGGTCTACGTTGACTCCAACATAGAGATTTTTTGGGTTAAAAATTTCAGAATAACAGTTATTTACAGTCCCTGAAATAAATGGATTCAATTTTTATATGATTCTTAGACAGAAAGTAAATACTAAACATTATATATCTATATATATAAAAATGAAAGTGTGTTTGTATGTATGTATGTATGTATGTATGTATGTATGTATGTATGTATGTATGTATGTATGTATGTATGTATGTATGTATGTATGTATGTATGTATGTATGTATGTATGTATGTATGTATGTATGTATGTATGTATGTATGTATGTATGTATGTATGTATGTATGTATGTATGTATGTATGTATGTATGTATGTCTGTATGTATGTATGTATGTATGTATGTATGTATGTATGTATGTATGTATGTATGTATGTATGTATGTATGTATGTATGTATGTATGTATGTATGTATGTATGTTTGTTTGTGCTTTATAGACTGCTAAACGGTTGGACCGATTTTCCTGAAATTTTCACAGTTTCTTCCTGTATGTCTGGAAGGAACTATAAGCTACTTTTTATGTTGAAATTTCATGTGGGCGACGTGCCACGCCCATGTTAAGAAAATATTAAATTAGTATATCTGAGATAATATAATAGTTAGAGTGTTCAAATTTTGTCGGAGCAACTTTAGTATCAATATAATTATTTAGGACAAAAAGTGGGCGGATTAGCATTAGGGGGCGTTGCACCTCCCATATAAATTAAATACAAAAATTCGTTTATCTTGGAAACTATTATAGTTAGAATATTAAAAATTTGCACGAGTAACTTTAACATCCATGTAAACATTTTGGGAAATAAATTGGCGGACTACCCATGAGGGGAGCAGCACCTCCCATATTAATAAAATACAAAAATTGGTTTATCTGGGAAACTAATAGAACTAAATTCTTCAGATTTTGCACTAAGAACTTAAATATTCATCTGAACATTTTGGAGAAAAAAGAGCGGACTTTCGTCATGGGGGGCTTGGAGCCCCCATATAAATTATATAGGAAAATTATTATTTCTGAGAAACTATTAGAGCTAGAATCTTCAAATTTTAATTGAAGAACTTTAACATTCATGTGAACATTCAGAGAATAACGGGCGGACATTCATTGGGGGGCTTGGCACCTCACATATGAATTAAATACAAAATTTCGCTTATCTGGGAAACCAATAGAACAAGATTCTTCAAATATTGCAAGAAGAACTTTATTATACATATGAACATTTTGGAGAAAAAAAAGGGCGGACTTTCATGGGGACTGTGGGCTTTGAGTTCCCATAAGAATTAAATAGAAAAATTCGTATATCTGAGAAACTATAAGAGCTAGAATCTTCAAATTCTACATGAAGATCTTTGACATTAATGTGAACATTTAGAGAATAACGGGCGGACTTTCAATGGGGTCTTGCCACCCCCTATATGAATTAAATACAAAATTTCATATATCTGGGAAAATATTAGATCTTTTTTAATTTGTCATCGATTACATTAAAATCTTAATTAACGTTCGGAAAAAATGCATCTCTGGAAAACACTACAGTTAGAATCTTTAAAATTATTAAGAAGATTTTTTATTTATATTGAATTTAGGGTAGCAAAGCACACTGGGTATAGCTAGTTATATGTAAAAATAGTTTTTTTTACATGTAACTATATTTTGT